TGCCGGGGCCATGGGGACCCAGAATGGCCTGCAGAGACACAGTCATGCTTGGAGAGGTAATCTCCTCCCAATATAAGGAGAATTTCATTTTATTTTTGCACTGGTCGCTTTACACAGGAAATTTCAGCTGAATGAGGGGAGTTAATATAATCAGATACAGCTTAGCACAGCAACAAATACATACAGCAGAGAAAATAAAGATAGGCAGGGATAATTTCACTAGACCTCCCTTGCTTCCTGTTGCTCCATTCCTTTCTCTTCCTGAAAAATTATATGTATTTTTAACACGTGAAACAGGCATATTTCCCTGCCTCAAAAGAGCAGGTTAACACTGACGGACAGAAGAGCCATATGGGAACCTACAAAGGACTAACCTCTTTCCAGTTGTACATTTTCTATACTGCCCTCAATCAGATGGTACACGAATGCTTCTGCCAGACACACTGCGTCCCTCGCAGGAGTGCCACCCTTCTCCTCCATCCCCACCATAGGTAAGTAAAACCAAATTAAACTTTTGGTCAAAAGAACTTTGGATCAAATAAAAAAAAAACCCCAACCACTCCCAAAGCTAAAGAAAGTACAAGCTGCCAACACCACTGGGACTGTCTATTTTGGGTAAGCTTTCTAGGACAACAAAACAATACAGTCTCAGGTGGACCTAACATCCCAGTCTTGTTTGTTTGTTTGTTGGGGTTTTTTTGCCTTTTTTTCTTCCCTCCAGCCACTTTTAGGGCTTTTACTTTACTGGAGTTAGATGATGGTGGCTGAGACTCTGAATTTGGCTATTTCCATAAAAAAAACAGCTAGCCTGGCACAAAACCTCCCCGAGAGGAATGACATGTTTGCAGTGTGAGGACCAGCAGTAGGCACTGACCCTCCACCTTTGCTCAGAGGAGCTCTCAGAAGCTTTTCAAAGATGCTCCCCATGGTTCAGACTGACTCCATTATGTTATCCTTCTGTGCCCATGGTCTATTGAAAGCAGTGAGGCAAGAGCTGCCAAAAAAAGCATATGAGCGGCTTGAAGAGTCGGTCTATGGACACCACCATGTTGCTGTTTTTACCTGCTGGGGTCTGGCTTTTTTTGCAGCACCACATCACCATTGCTTGATCCCTTGCAGCTCAGGAAATGCACTGGAATTACACACCTAACCATCCATAAGTCACAAGAAAAAGATCAAAAGTCTTAAACATCATATTGCTTGAAACTCCATGTGGGTTTACGTGTTATCCTGGTGGGATTTAATGTGAACTAATTGTTGGGTTCTCTGTGTACCCATAGACACACACAGCCTTCAAGCAGTCTCTGCCATGTTAGCCATAACTAGCAGGAAGGATGTGGTAGCAGCTGCCCCTCCACATTAGGGCAAACAAGTGGGAAGCCACTTTTTGTGCTTTCAAGTTGTGAGTTATTCTCAGGCTTCTTTCCAAAAAACTTAAATCTCAAGTACAATTCTAAGCCTCCACATCTCCAGCAAAGAAGAGAGAAAAATAGAATAAAACATTATGTTATAAAAGAGATCTCACCATTTTTCAGAAGGAAACTCCTCCCTGATGGATGCCTCCACTATCCAGTGACTGGGAGAAGTCAGTATCTGCAATCAGGCTTGCCCTGGATTATGTCTATTCTCAGAAACTCTAAATGTGACCACACATGGGACTAACCAGCCAAGAAAACCCCGAAGAGCTGTATTTGATCTTCCTGTTCTGTAAATCCACACATCCTCAATAACAACTGAGGAAAGAGAAGTAAACTATTTCCAAGATTTCCCATTTTCCTCAGAAAGCAGTAGCTGTACAAACATTTGAGTTCTCCCTCTCTCTTCTTTGAGACCTTGTTAGCAACATGCCTTAACAGTTTCACCACCAGCACAAGTTTGAAGGACACTCTGGTTTTACACTCAAGCCAATCATCCTTGCCCAACTCTGCTTTAAATGGCCAGGAATAACACGCTTGCATGTGGATCCAAACTGGGATGCAAGTCAGTAGAAGTCCTCTAGTTTCTTCCCTCTTTCCATCATCAGTTCTGTCATAGGCAATTAAAGCCAATTTCTAATGTCCTCTCCACCCCTAAGAGCCATGACCTCTGGACCTGCAAAAGGGTCCTCCAGGCCTCCCTAGCACACCTTTGTAACCAGAGAACAGGGACAGTGCAAATAGAAAGCTTTTCCCAAAATTGACTTGAAAGAGCAATCTTCATGCCCTTCTGTCAAAGCATGGTTGTAGGGAGCACCTCCCTAGAGGAGAAAGGGTAAATGATCCGTTAACATTTTATGTAGGCATAAAGGCAAGAGCAGTTCCCAGACCCCAAAGTTGACACGTGGGCAGAGAAAAACATGCATTCCTACTTGACAGATAAAGAACTGAAAGCTGTACTGATGCTACGTGGCCTGTCCAGCTTTACATGCTAAGTGAACTTCTCTGGAAAAAGGAATTCTGGTCCTCTCCACCCTGCTACAGTGCCAGGGTGTGATACTCCTTGTCTTCTTGATCACTCCAAGAGTACACATTTCCTTAGGAGTCAAAGCCAGGCTTTCTGTTCATGTCTCCCTTTGAACATACCTTCTGCAAGTGGCATTATCCCCTGCCCATGGTCCCGGTCCCGAGAAGTAAGAGCAGCCCCAGCTGCACACAGGGAAGGATGTCTGCAAACCCTGCCACTGCTCCCACGCCACAGGGCTCAGGGTGCTGCTGTGGAGGAGGACACCGGCTCCCTGCAAACCCTTGCTGGGCCCTCAGGGGTGGCTCAGCTGATCACTTCTGTAATCAGCTCAAATGCTCTCAAAGGCCACAGCCATCCTGTCAGGAGCAGAGCAGTCCTGGGGTATAAACCACTCGAAAACCAAAAGCTTCACCAGCTCCTCTGACGCAGCAGCTCCCTATCAAGCAGCTGCCCAGGCCTCAGCACAACTCAGGCTGCCAGCTCAGCAAGAGGGAGACAGCTCCCCAAAAGCATCCAAGTAAAGCACAAGTTTGCATCCAAACCTGCATTTGAAAAACAAAGGCAGGGGCATTGACAGGCCTGGGTACCTAGCACAAGGTGGGAGCTAGGGGAACTGCCAGGCAGGAGAGCAGAGTTCCCCCATAACCCCTGAAGCAAGCACTGCTCCAGCTCGCACCCTCCTCGCATCCAAGACAGAGCAGGGTAGGGTGGGCTGCCTGTGCTGCAGCCCCCAGCACAGCCTTCATGCCAAGCAATCAGTTTCTGGGGCAGAACAAGAGAAAGCATTAAAAAAAATGGCTCCCCCAGGCTGCAGGTAACAGCTACTGGAGCAGATCCTGCCTTATTTCTTGGCTTCTGTACAGAAAACACCCTCCAAGAAATGCAGTTTGAAGCCGCAGCTAAAACAAGAACCATGATGCAGGTCTGAAGAAGATATGTTTTTTCTGTGCCCCATCCCAGATTTCCTGGGTTCCTCCAGCACAGCTCACATCCATGGTCATAGCTAGTATCACAATAAACAACAGAAATTGAAAACATCACGCTATAAAATACAGTTATAGAAAAAAAAATCTGCCCAGATACTTTTCCATGGCAGCTGTCACACTAAAAACTTCTCAGTTTCCTGCGCAAAGTGAACTCGGGAAACAGAAATGCATGTGAAGTAGATAGGAATCATTATGGAATAAAAATCATCCAGATGTTTAAACATGTTCTGTTTTAAACATGCCCTACATGTTCCTTTGCTTGCCCTTCAAGAGGCACCCAGGTGAAAAGTATGGGTGACAAAACCAATCTGTTTGAAGGACAACTTCAGATAAATAAACCAGATCAAGCGTGAATTGGTGGGTCCAAGATCAGAGCAACAGCACAGCAGAAGGCACACACAGCATGAGCTGCTCCGAACAGCCTCTTCCAGATTTCCCCCGTCACTCAAGAAATCGCTGGTGTGCAAGAGCACATGGCCCGTGTGATGAATGCCATTTGCTTACATACTGCTTGGTCACTGATGGCAAGAATATACACCAGAGTCCAGCTCTTAATGGAAACAAGCCAAAATAATTCCCTTACCTTCTGTGAAGTTGCCTGTAAGAGTTATGACAACAAACACTTTGCCTTCTGGCTCCAAATCCACCTGAAAAAGTAAAGGTAACATTAGAAGATTGTTTTTTCAAGGCAGGATTTTGCATGACAAATCCTGCAAACATTTGATAATATTTGAAGATCTATATATATTCTCATGCACACCCTTAATTTTACAAAAAAAAAAATATCAAGCATCCATCACTCAAATTTTTCAGCACTTCTAGGAAAAAGAAGGAATCAAGTTCCTTATTTTTTATGGAGCCTCGAATGTTGAATAATCTCAGCTTTGCTACAGGAAATACAGATTCAATGGGAGGGAAAAAGAAGCAGCAGCAAGGACTAACATTAAACATGCACAGTTTTTTGAAAAGATCCTTGTGCATCTGTTCAGTGAATTATGTGCCTATTTTCTCCCTATTATTTCTCATCCCATTGAAACTATGTCAGTCTCTCAAAATACCATGAGTCCTGGGGTAAACTCTAGTTTCTTACATAAATCACCTTTTTTGGTCTTAAACCATAGAAAACAGGAAACTGTTAGTGTTGTTACTTGAGAACCTGTTGTCATTTAATCTAAATTAGAGAGAGATACAGAATATAATTTTAGGGATCAGAGACTCAATGACAGTGTCGGTCAACCTGTCCTTGAAAGAAGGTATTTATTTTTTGGTTAGTTGCTTTTTCATTTTTAGTTACATTTTTAATTAAGGTTTTCCTTTTGGTTTTTTGTTCATCAGCTAGTTTTTAGTAAAACTCACAGCTAAGAAGAAGTTTGAGTCAGGTTGTCACACAGAAATCTCACTTTAAAAAAAGAAAAGAAAAAAAGAAAAAGGCACTCCCCATACACCCCCAAATTGCAAGGTTGAAATTAGCAAAGAGGAGCTTCACACCTTGTGGGTATCAATAATCTGTGCAGAACAGAAATTCTGAGAAGAGAGCTCCCTGGAGGAATGACTAAACATGGTCGTTCAAACCCCCTCTGCTCTCATAAAGTCACCGTTCCTTGGTCTGGCAGAAATAGAAGCAAGTCTTCTACGTCAGCAGCACCAAGTTTCATCATGGAGATGTGCAGAATTTAATACATCTCAGTAGGCACTGCGGAGTAGAAAAATATTTCCTGGTCCTGCAAGAAAGGAAGATGAGTGCAGGCTCCTTCTTTTATCTTGGGTAACACACGATGTATCCTGCCAATACTTTGATTCCTCTCCAGTATTAACACATATCACATCATTCAAATAAACCTCTAACTATAAGCCTAAGTTCCCAGAGCAACAGTGGGACCACCACTAATCGAGACAGCATTTGCCCATGGCATGCACAACCCTGCCATGCACCAACCGGTCCTTTTAAGGGAATAACATTAAGATATAGGCAAAAGAGAAAGTTGAACTCTATATATCTAAGGGAGGAGCCAAACAGTCATGCTACAAATGGACAGAAAGTATCTGCGTGGCTGTAAGGGGGGGGGAAAGGTGTCCAAGCTGGGCTGACTCTGCAGTGTTAAGGTAGAGCAGTGCTTTCTGCTGGCACCTCTACTGTTGGGGATGCTAACGGTGGCTTCGCTAACACAAGGCAAGAGAAAACAATCTTCTGGGGGAAGATATACATTTCCCTAGCCTAAAATTTGTTGCTGAAGTAGAAAAATTGTTTTGAGGAATTTGTTAAGATGAGCTGAGCCAATATTTTAAAAAAAAAAAAAACAATGAGAGAACATCCTATTTACACGACTCCAGCTACAGTCCAGAAGTGAGACATCTCTATCAATGGGATACAAAACAGGGAAGCTAGAAGTGCTTGCGAAAATCCTATCAAAATGTTGATTTTATGGACATCATATTTTCTCCTTTAAAAAAAACAACAAAGAAACAACAACCTCACAGCGAAAATTTAAATTAAATATTTAGCTTTGACTCAATATTAATTTTCATGTTCGCTTGGGCTGCTTAGTACACTGGCTTTAGGAAGCTGTGTTTGAACAGCCCTCTGTCTCCATTAACAGGGAACTTCAACTCCAGCGATACCATGCACCATTTTTGCCTAAATTTCAGTTCACCGAGGAGACATGCAGCTTTGTAAAGAAGTGGTTCTTTCAAAAATACATAATATCTATAATATATATACATATACACTCATCCAAATTGATTTATGGGATATCAAGATTTCAGATTTTATGGGAAAATCCTTAGTTGCTTAGGTTTCCAAAATCTTCTTTTGTTCATATAATTTTTTCTGCCAGTCTGCGTAGATAGCAATACATCAGACTCCTGCTTTCACATTCACAAAGACCCCTTCCTCCCTTCTAACATACATGGTCTCCAGTGGGATACGGAGCAAACCCTGCACTCCTTGTTTAGTCTTAAAAGCAAAGGTTTGTCAATACACATGCAGCTGGGCTGAGACCAGGAGATGCCACGAAAGCATCATCCACCTTCGACACAGTGCGTAAACAAAAATTGACCCAAACTCTGTAACGCACCTTGTTCTCCATCTGTGCAAATGGGATTCCCCTGCCTAGGGTATCACAGTCTCACAAAACAGAAACAAAATCATTTTGAAAGTCATAGCAGGAAGATTTACAAGAGTTATAAAACAATCTCTCTCCTCTCCAGACTCCAAGATTAAAGACCTGTGAAGACCCTACACTGACTAATCCGCCATGCTCATACTATAGCGCAGATCTCAATAAAGAGGGTCTAGCTGCACTCAAGATCTTTTCATGGCACGCATTATCGTGATCTAACGAAACATTACAGCTCAAAGGCTCCAAAATGAGGACTGAAGTCCCAGCATGCCAGGAGTTGCAAAAGCAGAACATCTTCAGCACACCAGCATCCAGCTGGATGAAGGACCGATGGTGAAATCTTGTCTTATACAAGAGATTTAACCAAATAGTCTTAATAGTCCCTTTGGTCTCACATTGACAGCAACAACAAAAGATAAGATACAATGAAATTAATTAAAATTAATAGACCACTGATAAAAGTTTGGCTTTTGGACCTGCTGTGATCTTCTTTAAAGATGATCAGCCAAATAGCAGCCAACGTAATACGTGAGATCAACTCCCAGGTACATGGAAAGTGCCTGAAACAGAAAATTAGTTCTGACCTAGAAAACTGAAAGGAAAATGTCTGACCACAGACCTGCCCTCCCATGAGCCTGCCCATGATCAGACAAGCAAGTAGCTCCCGGACAGCAACACCCACCTGACGGGACATGCTTCCTTTCACCATCGCACGGACCCCCCGTCCCACGGCCACACAACACGGAGGGGCCTCGTGCTGGTGGCAGTTAACTCCTGTGAGCTCCTCACACTTGCTGGACCACAACCCACGATGCCCGTGCAGCCAGACGGATGCTCACACAATGAGTTGGCGTGCACAGCAAGCAGCTTGCTAAAGCCTGGGCTCCGGGGCTAACCGCAGCCATCCTTGCACACAGTTCCCCATATTCCTGCCTCTGCTTTACACCTTCATTACTGCCTTCACGCTTTGCGGTGCGGCTACCGAAACAGCGCATGCTTGGGGATAGCTTTAGCAACACAGCAAGCAACAGCAGCCACATTTTGGGCACGCAGAAATATGCCCATAACCATCTGAAACCAGCTGCCCACAAACGAGGAATGTGGTACCCTACTTCTTCCCCAAAAGGAGGAACTCCTAATAAAAGTCCTCCTTCACTCTCTTCAGTCACTAAAGAACTTCTATCGCTAGCACCTACTTTCACAGACTGAGAGGACTTCTCACTATACTCTGTTATTTAATAAGATTTGAGCACTTCAAAAGAAAGCAGCTGCCAAAGGACTGGCCCTCCAGCCATGGAAGGGGTAACCCTATCCGGTGATGGCTGGCAGCCCAGGCCCTGACTGCGCGCTGGCAAAGCTCCGGCGATGCCGGTACCTCCCAGCATCAACGAACACCCTCGGGATCCAGCCTCACAACAGCAGCACGGGTGTAACACAAGTACCATGCATATGCCAACTTTTGTTTCTCACTTTTCTTCCTTTTCTTCCCAGCATTGACTGTGGTTGCTTAAAGGCAAAAAAAAATATGTTTTTACAGAGAAGCAGTGGCCACAGTATTACTCTTGAAAGAATTATTAAAGTCCAAAGCAGATCGTGCAATCAGTTTGGGTCAACAATGCAGCTGATGCTGATCTTCTTTCTCAGAGAAAGCAAGAGAGGCTCAAAGAAACTCAACAGCCTGAAGGCAGCACAGATCATGCTATGGGGAAACTCCTACATCATTATACAGGAGATAAGTGATACAGGAACATAACCATCTGTATGCATTTGACAAAATATTCAAAGAGCAATAAGTACAGCAAAAAAAGCTTCCTAATGCCAAGATCTATTTGGCACAGAATAACTTCTTTTAGGGAATCACAGAATTCTGCCCAGAAGGTTTAGCATTAGAGCAGGAGATACACTGCAATGGGAAAGTCCTGCTGTATTGGGAGAAGTGAAGGAGAAGTCTGAATTTTTATGCATGCATGATATTGCACATGCTATGAGGTACACTGATCTCCGAACAAATCAAACTAAACTGGTGGTGTGCAGCATCACACCATCGGCACGCATAGCTGTAAACTGTAATCCCCTCCCTCTGGCACTTTCATCCTCAGCCTGGTTCCCCAGAGAACAACTGGGAGGGAAAACATCAACTTTCTGGCTGTTTTAGAGGTGACTTGGCCAAGTTTTAGCTAACTGAGAGAGGAAAGTGTACTTATTAGTGTAGTAAAGCCTCCAATCGCTGCTCTCTTCTAGTTCAAGGAAATGGAAGACAGGACGTTCCTCCATAGCACAAAGGGTGGATAAGATCAACTGTTGTATCTGTGAGAACACCACAGGATTTTGGCCCAGAGCTAAGCATACACTTTAACTTCTGTTGAACCTCACCGCTGTAACTTAAGAGAAAACAAGCGCTGGAGGATTTTGGCAAGTGAGCTGGAAACGAGCAGGTAAGGACTGATGAGTTCAGTCGCAGTTTCATTACGCTTCTATTGTGAGATGTAACACTTTGGCGAGGAGGTCGAACCCAGGACCGAGGAGGA